CCCCAAAACCCCAAAACCCCAAAACCCCAAAACCCCAAAACCCCAAAACCCCTTTATTTTTATTTAGCATTGTAACTATTTTATTTAAGGAATAAAATGAAATCTCCGAATTATACAACTTATGTCTCTGATGGGTATGGGAGAGACTCTTACATTTTGGAGAACAACGGAGGGTTGACGATCCCTCGAATCCAGAATTTCAGTCAAAGAACCAAATTCCTGGACTGTTCCACTAGCAAAGGGATTAATAAACTTAATAGCAGCTTTGTCCAGCCCAAGACCGGGCTGGCTAAGAGCCCTACTAGGGTTCATTACCCTCCTGATGGCACTGGCAGGGACTGGTACATTGTAAGAGACAATCATTTCACACCAAAGAACACTTCCTTCGAGAGCACTCTCAGGTAAGCTTCTTAGCAAATTTGGTTTGACAAATTCTGGGATTTATCTATGCAACAAATTTTATACGCGTTCTAGGAGCCCAAATCACTCTTCAATGTGGAGAAGAAAGAAGAATTATGTTGATATCACGGATACTCTTAATTGGGTATCCAAGAAGTCTAAGGCGCATAGAGTAAGGGATCGCTGACTTTTTCAACCTTTGCTCAACTAGAATTGCGCCAAGCTAACCTAGCTTATAGAAAAGTTTGAGTATTTATCAGATGAAATTAGCTAAGAAGTTATCATCTCCCAAAAATATGAAACTGAGAGCAGAGAGACTGAGTAAGTTGCCTACCTAATCCTCTAGAAGTCAGGGAAAGGATGAACAATTCAGTTATCGGCATTAAGGGTACTTTTTGTGTGTATAAATTTACAGGAGAGTCAAGATTTAACAATGATTATGATATCGCCACTCCTAGCTCTATTCCTAGTTCCATTCCTCAATTAGGCAGCATGAAGGGACCGAAGTACACTAATTTATTGAAGTACCCAGAACATTTAACTCATAGACTGAAGGAGAAGCTGAAGAAGGGTTCCTACCAGAACATCGTTGATAATGGAGACTTGTCTAGTTTCAGGATTAAGAGAGGGAAGAACTCAAGTATTCTGGATATTATCAAAAATAACAAGTTGTAATAACTGTTTCAACCATCCTTACAAATTTTGGGGTTTTGGGGTTTTGGGGTTTTGGGGTTTTGGGGTTTTGGGG